TAAGAACCAAGATGCATTATGTAAAGGTACAAGATCCCAATGATGAATGTAACTGTATTGTATACCTAAAATGTACCAACAAACTTAATGAAAAAAAAAAGAATGAGTGGAGAGATCTAAGGTTTATCTCCAGATTCTCACTTATGCAGGAAGTGTTAACATTTCATCTCAGTGGCTCCATAATATTTCAAGACCATCCAGTCATCCTCCAGGCAACATTCTGAAAGATCAACCCAAGTGGCCAACAGGGAAATTTTCTCTCACTGATAAAATGTAACACATCCACCCCATCTCAAACCTGAGAGCATTTTTACTATCAAACAAGTGGCGACTATAAGAAACCTAACTGTTAGTTCCACAAAATAACTAATCTGATTCATCAGAGGGACAGAACAGGTTAGATATTAAGCATTCTGTCAGGAAAGCTGTCAATTTCTGTAGAGCAAAGATCTGATGACTGCAAGATGATCCAATCCCTCAACTTTCATCGGTTGAGTGGGAAAAGTCTGCTTCATGTTCAGAAGGCAGTTGAGGAAAAGACAGAGATTCATAATGATTTTTGTTCAAAGTGATGATTGGTGGCCCATTTTTATAACTAATGTGGTTTCGAGGGATTTCAATTCATGCAAATTTCTTGATGGAAGTAGATTTAAAAGCAAATAAAATATATCTAAACACCAAGGGTATTGGTCCAGTTACCCATTCATGGAGCTCAGTGGTCTCAGAAACCCAGGACTGAAACAATTGACTTGATTTCAAAGTTCTAATACTTGTCAGTAATGCAGTTAATCAGAAAATGAATATGGTAAGACAGCAACAGAATTATCTAACTAGTCCTTTCACCATTTAAAAATGATAATATTTTATGAATAAAGGAAATATATCCTTGATTTATAAATTATAGAACAATAATATAATGTATAACAGTGTACCAATCAACAAAAAGGAAATAATATCAATAATTTTGAAACCTTCCTTGTATATCCTACTTTTAATGTGTTCTCCTACATTTAGCCTAAAGATAATCACCTCCTGAATTTTGTAATTATTATGCCTTAGCTTTTTGCTAAAATTTTATTAGGACTGCTTATTGCATGTATCATTTATTTCTCATATTTGGGAGCCTTGTGTAAATAAAACAATACTGAATATATTTGTTTAGTATTTCCTGGGGTTTATTGTTTGTTTTAAGATCATTTTCTTTATTAGTACCTGTTTGTAGTACATGATATTTGCATTTCTTTTTTTAAGGGGAAATTATTCATTTATTATTTAAAGATTGCAAGACAACATCTGAATTCCTGTAGCACAATTTAAATGTCTTACTTTTTTGATAAAGCAGAATATAATAGGAAAAAAATTAGTTTCCAGTAATGTCTATATCTCTATTCAGAATTAAGTCTTCCAAAGACATATTACCTGGTAATAAAAGCCCGTTACAATAAGCGAAGCTTTAACCAGAGCAGCTACTTTTCTTCCCAGAAAAGTTCATCCCTATAGGAGGAATGATGTGCTATGTAAAACAGCTGTAAGGCTACAGCCTTGAGGGCATTGGAAATATAGTATCCATTTCACATTGAGCAGCTCAGTGAACTTCACATCAGTTTATCAGCAACCTTGCTAGCAATCTTAACTGATATTTCAATCAGATAAAAAATAAACTGAGAAATCCCTTAACTGATGTTTCTTGATTTACATTGTTGAAAGCTACACAGTTCATTGACATGTAATTCTGAAGCAGAATTACATTTAAGACTCCTTACTCAGATTTTGGTTAGCAGTAATAATCTTTCAGAAATTCAAGTTCTTATTATTCAATAATTTGTCAGCCAGGATACATTCAGGCAACAGCTGCAACTACAGAATAGGTGCACTGCCTCAGAGCTTTGGAAAGACATTATTATCTAGAACACTACTAGCAGACAAAAAATTATCTGTGACTTGATATCATAAGTACAGTACAGCAAGACAAACATATTTTCATATGTTGGCTTAAGCCTCAAGCCTCTGACCCTTTATGAAATTTGATAACTTTATTCCTATGGTTTTTGATACCAAAAACTCAAGCTGCTAACAAGCCTAATTTGCACTCCATACCAAGTAATATTGTAGTTGGCTACAAATGAGGCTGAATCCATACAGACTTCAAAACCAAGTCCAGAAGACAGTTATTATATAATACCCTAAAACAAAGTCTGGAAAATAATTAGTTTCATACATAGATGGTCCTTCAGTGATTTTACCTGTAACACATTTTTCAATGAATGTTACTTAATGTAGTGAAGATAACTGTAACTTACTGATCAAATATTTGAATACTTATACTTACCTGGGATTTCATTTCTGCTGAAAGAAATAGGAAGAACAGGACTCACTTTAAAAAAAAAACAAACTTTAGAAAGGAAGGTAAAAATCTTATCACACACTATCATTTGTGGAAGCAGCAGAGAAGAGGCAGTCAAGGATAAAACACTGGTGAAATAGGTCAAAATTAAGCAAAAAAACCAAAAAACAAAACAAAAAAACAATATTCATATATTCATCAATGACAGTACCACAACTGTGCCCTTCATAATTAGTAAATTACTCCTAAGAATTTTCATTTGGCACCAGGTGATGTGTTTAAGAGAAACACTCTGGGATGTTTTGAATCAGACATGATTTTGTTAGCTTAGTTACAGGAGAATTTTTAAAGGGAGTGAGGTTGAGGAGAGAAGGTAATAGGAAATAAGACCAGGAAAAATCTTGAGTCATCATTTAAACCAACAAAGCATAGATAGCTCCAAATATCAGGTCAGACACTAAAATGACTGATATAGGCTCAAGTGGTTTATAAAACCTATAAAAAGACTACACCAGCAAAGTCCTCCTTAATCTGTCAGTTTAGAAACTAAAAAAGGGAGCAACATTTTAGCTTAAAACCTTATCTCAAGAGAATCAAAAACATTTCACATGATAAAAATACCTGAAACCAAATATTTTTAAAAGCTCCAAACCCAAAAATATAAAGGAAAAAAAAAAAAAGACTAATTCAGAAGACTCAATCCATGGAATCACAAAAAGGCTGGACAATCTGTATCTCCCCTCCACAATAACCATCCCACGGAAGACCAAGGGAGATCAGACCTTCCAGCCCTGGTTGATGCAGAATCTGGAGATTCCTTGTGGAACAGCATTTTCCCATCTCTTGTGTTTCTCCCTACTGTGCAGGAAGCAAGTCTGGCTGTGCTATTCTATTATCATTATATATCACCCATCTGCAACATGGTACTGTACAGATAAGTAAAAAGTATGTTATCTAGTTCCCTTTCCCCCAGAAGATTGAGGCTCAGGTATAGGGGTAATTCTCCTATATAGAGTCTTTATTAGGCTGACTGAGTGACTTCAACAGGCTTAATCATGTGGTCAGGTTTGTTGCCAGCTGCATAATGCTCCCACATCTGCAGATAGAGCCGCTCTAGTTCCATTGTGTATTGTTTGGTGTTGAACAGAGGGCTAGATATTCTCTGCTTCCAGACTTTGCCACGTATTTTCTTTAGGTATTCTAAATCAGTTCCCAGTTTCACAGCTATGTCTTCATATTCTTGTCTATTTTTTGCAATAAGCTCAAGACAACCTAAGCAAGTGAGCTGAGAAGTTGCAACTCGAGAAGCAAGGGTCTCTCCTGGCATAGTCACCATCGGTGTCCCTGCCCAGAGGACATCCATCCCTGTAGTGTGCCCATTACAGAGCAGAGTGTCCAGGCAGACATCAGCCAGCTGGCCTCTCCTGACATGCTCCTCTTTAGGAGCAACAGGGGAAAAAATGATACGGTTCTGAGGCAGGCCCATGTTTTGTGCATACTGTTGAATATTGGGCTCTCCCACAGCTGGAAAACGCAACAGCCAGAGCACACTATTGGGAACACGTTTCAGAATATTTGCCCACATCTGCAAAGTCGATGGGTCAATTTTATACAATTGATTAAAGTTACAGTACACAATGGCATCATCTGGTAAACCATACTGAGAACGGGTGGTTACAATAATGGTATGAGGAACCTCCTCTCCAGTGGCAGCCTTGTTGTTGATCTGTGTAGTGGCCAGTCCATTACTAATACTGAATCCATTAATTGTTATCTGAATCTGTCCTCTGTTAATCATTTCAATAACTGCTTCTGCAATAGTATTCATGGGAATGACAGGCATATTAAGAGCTGTGTTACTGCTATCTGCTTTGTCTCCTTCATCAGGACATTTCATCTTAACAATTTTCACATCTGGTAGACTATCAAGAAATGCTTTGAGATCGATGCCATTCAGAACTATCCAATTGTCATAAATGTGGCCATTGGACTTAAAATCAATGACTGCTTTTTTCTTCAAGTGAGGGAACATATTAGCATGATCACCAATAAAGAAAGTGTAGGGCATATAAGCCAGTTTCTCAGAATACTGCTCAGCAACTTCAGCTGGTGAAGCTTCCTGATCAGTGATGATATAATCCATAAAAAGCACACCGCTAGTCCCAGGGTATCCCAGCCACATTGCCTGAATAGGAGCTGGCCTGAGAGCGAAGAGCTCATTTCGAGCACCTTTCGTATAACCATTCATATTCACAAGGATATGAATTCCATCCTGATGGATGCAGTCAGCTGCTTTTCCATTACATGGAATTTGAGAAAGATCAATGAAATGATTGGCTTCTGCCATCACTTTCACTCGGAAATTTGTACCATCATCTGGACTCAGGGCATAACAGAATACCTCAAATTTATCAGAATTGTGCATGCCTGGAATAGACTGCATAAGGTGAGAAGTAGGATGATTCCCAAAGTCAGAACTCACATATCCTACACGTAGTCGACCATCACTGAGCTTCAAGTCTTTTGGATGTTCATATGGTGGTTTATGAAGGACATTAATTTTATCCAAACAAAGGTTCCCATGCCGCTCAGCAATAGCCTTCCTGAAGCCATGAGAAAGAGGATATAGCATACTATGATGAGGATGCACCGAGGGTAATCTATTCTTGTCTAACTGGTCAGCCACAATACTGACCAACTTCTTCATTCGCTCATCATAGTCTGTCCAATCACAGACAATCTGTAGGCAATGAGCCAAGTTACAATAAGCATCAGGAAAATCAGGCTTAAGTTTCAGAGCTGTGCGGTAAGAAGCTATTGCTTCTGGAATATTCCCTGAATCCATGTGAATGGAGGCCAGATTGCTGTGGGCATCTGCAAATGTCGGATTAATCTGAATGGCACGAGTATAACACTGCAAGGCTCCCTGAACATCCTGCATCTCCTTTAGAATGTTTCCCATGTTAGAATAGGCATCAGCAAAGGTAGGACTGATTCGAATAGCTTCCTTATAATGCATCAAAGTTTCCTGCAGTTTGCCCTGCTGTTGTAGTACACTTGCTAAATTGGAATGTGCAGCAGCAAAGTCTGGGAAGCCTTCTAATGCTTTACGGTACAAACGAACTGCCTCTTCGATATTTCCCTGTTCTCGTTTGAGATTGGCTAGATTATTGAGAGAGTCAGCATGGGTGGGACACAGTTGGAGAGCTGTATTGTAACAATCTTCTGCTTCAGCAACACTGCCTTTCTCTTTGAGAGCATTGGCTAGGTTGCAGTAAGCATCAGGGAAATGTGGTTGCAGTTCAATAGCTCGCCTGTAGGTGTCTATTGCCAGCTCTATCAGGCCTTGCTCATAGAATACACAAGCCAGGTTACACTGCACCAATGCATGATTTGGACTCAAGCTTAGGACACGAAGGTAAGCTGCCACAGCTCTGTCAAAAATGCGTGCCTCTTTCAAGACATTTCCTAAATTGATATAAGCATCCAAAAAATTTGGGTCAAGGGTGACAGCCTTTTCAAAGTGATGAATTGCAAGCCAAATCTCCCCTTGTGCATTGAAAACACAGCCGAGATTATTCCAAGCTACTGCGAAGTTTGGTTGTACCTCAATTGCTTTCAAATAACATGCCTTGGCTTCTTCCAAGCGACCCACGGCTTTGAGCAGGTTCCCCAGGTCACTGCAAACACAGTACAAATCAGGATTGTACTGAAGAGCAGAGACACAAGCTTGTACTGCTCCTTCCATGTCACCTGCTGCCCTCAATGCGGCTGCCAGGTTCATATAACCATCAATGAAATCAGGTTTGAGACGTAATGCATGTCGATAATGTTCAACTGCTTCCTGCAACTGCCCTCTTTCCTTGTATACATTCCCCAAATTCAAATAGGCTTCAGCCAGAAGGGGATTCTGTTTAATTGCCAGGGTGCTAAAGTGAACAGATCTGTCCAGCCTTTGACACTGGAAGTGCATAGATGAAAGTAATAAAAGCACACCAGTATTGTCTGGCTCTAGTCTCCAGAGCTGCATACAGTGTCTCTCAGCTGCCTCAAAATCTCCTGCCTGATATTCTCGATGTGCCAACTCAGCTAACCCTTGGAAGTAAAGCATACGTTTCGTTGGTACTGTGCTGTCGGCCACGTTGCCCACGGAAGACGCCATCTGGAGCTTCTTGAGGGAGAGCAAGAAGAGGGTAGTTTACTCCTACTGCCGCCCTGACAAGAAAGCTTCTTAAGAACTCTGGTTGGCCATCAGCCTCTCACTCAGTCTTGAAATGGCGGTTATGGCTCCACGGCCAAAACAACACGGGCCGGAACTACTTTCTGTTACAATCAAGTACCCGTGCGGAGGTGTTCTATTTACATTTCTCATGCGGCGTTAGTACAGGTACATAAGACATCTTAATTCACTCTTTCTTCTCCTCCTTCCATCTCTTTCTACTCCATCTGTCTCTTGATCCCCTTCCCTTTTGAGAAAGACAGGCTCTCACTATGTAGCCCACACTGGCCTCGAACTCACAACCCTTCCACCTCAGCATCCTCAGTCCTGAGATTACAGTCCTGTGTCACAGTGCCTGGCTTTAACATGAGTTTTTATTTTACTTTTTGCTGAAATCATTCAATGAAATGTGCCTATGACATGTATAGATATTTTTTCTTCATTTTTACTTCTACATGATATTCTGTTGTATGAATATACAATGATTTATTTAACCATTCACCTATAATTGAAAATGTTGGATATTTCCAGTTTTATTTTTTTTAAATGTCCTTCTGGAAATAATAATACTAGCAATGTTTAATTTCTGTAGTGTATAGTCCTAGTATTGCAATTGTTGGTACTTAAGATATTCATTTTTTATATTAAATAATGACTAATGCATTCTAAAGTCACCCTAAATATTTGTATTCCCTGACCATTCTCTATATCCATATTTATCTATACTTTCAAACTTTGTAATTTAAAGAAATTGGCATATATAAATGCTTCTTGTGGCTTTAATTTGAGGTTTTCTGATTACCAATAAAGACGAACATGTTTTCCTATTTTATTTGCCATTTATTCTTTTGCTTCTATGGAAGCATATTCATGAATTTTGTCCATTTTTTTTATTGGTTGTTTGGTATGTCTCATTGAGTTTAGGGAGATTTTTCATGTATACTGTTACCAACATTTGGGTAGCTATAGGTGATTTAATCACTTCTACAATTTGTGGCTTGCTTTAGATTTTGTGTGTCAGATTTTCATTTTGATGAATAAAGTTTCTTACTTAGGACAGAGTCAAATTTACCAATCTGTGGATATGAGTTTTATATCTTAAGAAATTCTATTTTTACCATGTGACATAAAGATGTTTTCCTTTACTTTCACTTGTAAAGTTTTAAAAGTTGTCCTTTCATATTTAAACATTTAATTCTATTGAAAAGTATAGTTCTCTCTCTCTCTCTTTCATGTTTGTTAAAGAGGTTCCCTCCTCCTCACTGATAGTTACCTTCTATCATCACTTTCTCATTCCTGAGAAAAAATACTTGACACTTATCTTAAAGTAGGACAGGTTCATTTGCTCATGCTTCAGATCATGGTTAGCTGGCTCCAATGTAGGATGATAAGGCATGGCAGAAAATAACTGCTCAGGGCATGGCAGGCAGGAAGCAGAGGGAAAGAAATGGAGAAATCAAGAGAAGTGGGAGGGAAATATACTCTTCCAGGCCACGCCTCAAGTGACCCAGCTCCTCCCACCAGGTTTCTTCTCCCAACATCACTTTTAGCTATAAACTCATCAGTGGACTAATCCACTGCTAAGTATCATGCCCCTGTAGTCCAATCATCTCTCAAAAGCCCCACTTATGAGCACATGTAGTTTTGGGGAAATATCTAGACTTAAACCATAATATTATACTCCTAAAAAGACTCAGGCACATTCTTTTATGCAAAATGGATTTAGTCCATTCTCTAAATGTTGCCAAAGTTTTAACAATTTCAGTATTTCTGGAAAGTCCAAGTCCAAAGTCTTCTCTGAGATTGAAGGCAAACTCCTAGCTATGAGCACCAGTAAAAATGAAAAGAAAATTAAACACTTCAAACATAAATGGCAGAGAGTAAACATTCTCATGCCAAAAGGGAGAGGTAGGGGAATAGAAAGAAATGGGACTAAAGCAAGACAGAAACCCAGTAGGCAAACATTAAATCCTGTACCTCCATGTCCAGCACCCGGGGCCAGTTGTGGTGAGTTGTGAACTCTAAAGGGCTTGGGTGTCCTCACCCCCGTGGCACTGCCACTCATGGCCTCTCTCTTGGGCTGGCTTTGCTCACTCTTTGTGGCTTTCCTCAGATATTCTATGTCCCTGCCTTCTCCAACTTTGTGGGTCTCCTCTGCATGTCCAGCTGCACTCTCACAGCTTCAGACATTGCTCTCTCCTATTTTACTTATTTATTTATTTATTTATTTATTTATTTATTTATTTATTTATTTATTTATTTTTGGTGCCGGGGATTGAACTCGGGTCCTTGTGCTTGCGAAGCAGGCAGAGGAACCACTGAGCTAAATCCCTGGCCCATCTCTCCTACTTTAGTCTATGGTCATCTGGCTTCAAGGAGGGATGGCATGGCAGAGCAGTATAGCAGAGAAGAACTGCTCAGGGTATGTCAGACAGGAAGAAGAGAGAGTCAGAGCAAGGGAAGAGGGAGAGAAATAGACCCTTCCAAGCCACACCCCCAGTGATCCACCTCCTCACACCAGGCTTTACCTGCCAGCATCACATCCAGCTATTACTCCATAAATCATGCCCCCTGGTCCAATCACCTCCCAAAAACTTCACCCATGTTCTCAAGTGCATGAGGCATTGCAGGGACATCTAGATATAAACCCTAACACCATCCTCTGGAACAGATGCAGTTTTCCTATCTGTGTAGGTGTTCCTTCTCAAACACCATTTTTCTCTTACTCATTCTAATCCATCTATGCATCCCTCTACCATGTCCACATTTCTTTATCATTATACTTTTATAATAAGCCTGATTTGGCTTGGCAAGTATTCTACCTTTTTATTTTCTTTGGGAAATACTTGGCTATTTTTGGTCTTTTGTTCTTCTATACACATTTTACAACCATGTTAAATTACAAAGAAAATGCAGTATAATTGGATTTTTTGATGAGTTTGAGGGAAAATTATCTCTTTTTTTTTTGGTACAGTGGATCAAACTCACTACCTTGTGCTCCTGAGGTAGGTGTGGTGCCACTGAGTTAAATCCCTGGCCCTATCATTTTCTGACATCATTAAATCCATATGGATCTGATTCAATCTGGCATGTGTATAGCCAGTTTTCCCAGCACCACTTATTAAAGATACTATCTTTCCTCCAGTATAAAATTTGGCCTGTTTTTCAAAGATCAGAGGCCTGAATGTACCTGAGTTTGTTTCTGCATTCTCTATTCTCTTCCATTGATCCACATGTCTGTTTTTGGCAAGAACCATGCTGTTTTTATCACAGTAGCTTTGTAATATAACTTGAAATTTCAGATCACGGTGGAGCCTAATTTACTCTTTTTGCCCAGGATTGCTTTTGCTATTATGGGTCTCCTGTGGCTCCATATGAATTTTAGGATTGTTTTCCCCAGTTCTGTGAGGAATATCAATTTTAGAAGTATGGTCATTTTGACAATACTGGTCACGCCTGTCCATAAACAGAAGATATCTTCCCATTTTCTGATATTCTATTTAATCTCCTTTTTCAGAGTACTGTAGTTTTCACTGTAGAGGTCCTTCACTTCTTTGGTTAGGTTACTTCTAAGTATTTACTATTTCTTGGTGCTACTGTGAGTGGTATTGTTTTCCTAATTTCTTTCTCAGTGCCTAGGAATGTTATTGATTTTTGTGTGTTGATTCTGTATCCTCCTTCCTTGTTGAATTTATTAGTTTTAGGAGTCTTTTGGTAGAATTTTTTGAGTCTTCTGTGCAGAGGATCACATCATCTGAAAATAATGATAATTTGATTTCTTCCCTTCCTATACATGACCCTTTTATTTAATGTTTTGAGTAGTATGTTAAACGAGAGTAGTGATAGTGAACATCCTTGTTCTCTTTCTGATTTTAGAGGGAAAGATTTCAGCTTTTCCCCATTTAATATAATGTGAATGGTAGGTTTGACATAAATGAGTTCTATCAGATTGAGGTAAGATCTTTCTGTAACGATTTTCTTCAGAGTTTTTATCATGAATGGATATTTCTGCATCTTTTGAGATGATCATAAGATTTTTGTCCTCTTTTCTATTTATGTGATTATTATACTTATTGACTTGCATATGTTGAGCCATATTTGCATCCATGGAATGAACCCTAGTTGGTCATGATGTATGATCTTTTCAATAATATGATTATTTCTGTTTATCAGAATACTGTTGAGGATTTTTGTATCAATGTTCATTAAAGAAATTGGCCAGTAGTTTTCTTTTATAGTTCGATCCTTGTCTAGTTTTAGAATCAGGGCAATGCCATCTTCTAATCTCTCACCATATACTATGGTAAAATCAAAATGAATCAATTATCTAAATATAAAACAGAAACATTTAATCTTCTGGAATATAAAATAGGTGGAAGTCTTGAAAACATAGACATAGGCAGGAACTTTCTGAGCAGAACCCCAATTACACAGTAAAATCCAGAATCAACAAATGGGATCATATCATGTGGTATTTATACACAATGAAGTACTACTCTGCAGTATAGAAAGATATATTTGATTCATCTGTTGGAAAATAGATCCACCTTAAGGTCATAATATTGTGAAATAAATCAGATTCACAAGCTTAAATATCACATGGTTTCTCTTATATAAGAAAACAAACATGTAAATAAAGTAAAGAGCAATGTAAAAGATAAATAACAGAATACAAGGAGACAGATCTTTTGCAAATGAGAAGGTTGCTAAGAGATGGAGGGAGGGGGTTGGGGAAGTGAGGTAATGAGAAGAGAAAGTAAGAAGTATTAAAATGTGTTCGGTACATGTATCAACTCCCCATGCTGAATGTAATCATTATATATACTCACAAAAAGAAAAAGGAAAAAAATCGAACCTTCCTGGAACATAGAATGTCTCTCTTTTCATTTAAATCTTCTTTAAGGTCTTTCTATGAGTTCAAATTACCTGAAAAGTTCTAAACCACATTTATTTACACAATCTTCAGAGCTTTACCTACTTATTCTTTTTCCTCTGTTTCTTGCCTTAACATTTCTCTTATTCTTTGGTGACTATCTGAGCTTCCCAGTTACCCTATCCTCATTTTTCCC